TTTGCAATATTACACCGAATTGAAAAAGAAAATTGATGGGTGCCGTTTTGAGCTTATTTTTAACTTCGATGAAGTTGGATTCGACCAATGGGTCGATTCTCATTCAAAAATTGTCTATGCAGAAGTTTCTAGAGGACAAGATGTGTTTAATGAAGTTGAAAGAGAAAGTTCCAGAACAAGTCTTTTGTGTTGTGGATGCCTAGATGGAACCAAAATGATTCCACTTGTGGTAACAAAAAGACTTTCTCTGGAAGATGTTGCTATTATATCCCTTAAAAGTCGGGCTTTAATAAGGACACAAAAATCAGGTGTTTTGAATACTGAATTATACACCCTCTGGTTAAAAAAAGTGTTCTTCCCGACAATTAAGGCAAAAAGAGAACAAATGGGTGTGCATGCCGATATGAAAGCTTTCCTAATTCTTGATGGTTTTTCAGGCCATTTTTCTGAAGAAATTCAAAATTTATTTTTGGAAAATCATGTAGAAATGATTAAGGAGGTCCCTCACAGTTCCCATTTATGTCAACCAATGGACTTGGGAATATTCGGGAACCAAAAGAAATTTTTGGCGGACAAAAACAACTATCTTTGCCACAAATTCACTTTATTAAAAAAAGAAGGTAAAAATGTTGAAAAAAGTGGTAAATTACTTCAAATAGATTCCCCAGAGTTCAAACAAGCAATGAAAAAATATATTAACATGTCTGAAGAGGAAAAAATTAGAGAGCTAATCTATTCCTGGGAGTGTGTGGCAAATGGAGACAATGTCACGAGCTCTTTTAAATAAGCAGGAATATCATTTGTGCCACACACTCCCAGTGAAAGCGAGCTTCAGGAGATACAAAAGAAGTCGCCAAATTACAATATTTCAGATTACATAACGGGGGTGGTAAAAGTGGACATGAATGGGGCAAGAGAAGTCTGCAAATTCTTGGGTATTGCTGCAGAACCTAAAGTTGTTGGAGCGACCAGAGTTGCTCTCGAAAATTATGAAGACAGGAAAAAACGTCTTCAACGTGAGAAACTCACCAACACCAGGAAGCAAAGTCAAGCCAAAAAACCCAGAAAACCCGAAAAATAACTGCGGGTTTAAGTCTTATTTTTGTCGCAAACCTTTTTCTATAATTAAATAAAGTATTTGTTATATGTTAATTATATTAATATAATTTAAAATAGTAATATTTTAATCTGAGTATTATATATTAAAACACTCAACAATAACGACAATTTAAAAATAAATTTGATACATTATAAAATAAATAGTATAAAAAATAATATTTTAATAATAAAGGTTTGATTTACAACAAAAATGGGTATAAAAAAGTTTCAAAAATCTGAAATCAAACAATCATTAAAACTCAGAAGAAAACGCGTTTGTTTATCATGATTATGAACACTGTCAAATAATGAACTTGGGAAATTAAGAACTAAAAATAATGAGAAGGTCGTTTATGCATACAAATAATTATTATTCAACGACAATATATATATATATATATATATATATTACTGTCCGGAACCACCAGAAGAGACGTTTGTTTTATTTAATAATGTTTAAGAGCATAGATTTCAAAATAACAACTTAGGTTATTACAGCTGATTAGTTTATGAAAGGGAAAAGTTCCAAAAAGAAAAAACACAGAAAACAAAGTGATCAACAAATTACATCGTGATTAATCGTAACTAACGAAAATATAAACCATCTCGTTAATTGTGTTAAACGAACTGTTTATTATACTTTGTTTAATTTGTACGGGTTTTGTCTCTATAAATCCAACTATTAATATCACTTTATAAATAGTTCAATGGGTTTCCCGATTATATTAAACAAATACATGTATTATATTATGTATTCTCCCTAATATAAATATATTATTAACAACATATTCGAAACATTTCTTAATAATACTCAGGCAAAGCAAAAATGTTGGTTTTATTTTTTTAAAAAAGGAAAAAAACAAATAACAAAATAATAATTAAAAAACATTTTACCTATTGTTACCAACTTTATACAACATCTCTTTTTTTCCAACATCGGTTTTTTTCAGCCTCTTTAGATATAAATTATGTTACATTACGGTCCCCCACAATTTTAAACAATATTTTATAATATTTTAACTAAACGCGAAACTGAGCAAAGCTCCAGCATGAATTTAATTATAGATCAATATATCTAGTAAATTTATATTAATGAAATTTTATAGTAAATTTATATTAATGTAATTTTTTATCTTCCTTAAAATGACGGAACAGTATATGAATGAAGCGTTTAGAAAGTTTATTGAGCTTTGTCCTTTACGACTCTTAGAGTCTGAGGAACGAAGTTCCGTAAAATTATTATATAATTTAAATACAGATGAAGATATCGATATCCCAGAACCTATAATTGTTAAAAATAAAAGTATCTATTTATAAATATTAATTATCAAATAATTTACTGACATCTAAATTATTAACAGTAATATAATGTTCTAATATTGGAAGCATCTTAATTTTAATTCCATCTCTCATTTTATTTTGATTGTTTTCTAATTCTTCTATTTTATTAAGTAATAATACTAATTGTTCTTGCTTTTCTCCCTCTATATTTTTGACTTTATTGTCAAGATCATTTTAGTAATTCTATGTTGTTTCTTAATTAATGTTTGTTTACCTTTAATTTTACAAAATACATAACCATTAATAAAAATTGTATCATTTAAATCTTTTGTATTGATTGAGTTAACTTCTGGGTTATTATTGATATATCTATTGATTTCCTTGTTACATTGTTTTAACATATCTATTTCTTTAAAATTGTATTTGTTTATAATCTTCTGTAAAGCTATAATATGTTTAGAAGTAATATCAGATAAAGTTTCAGCCTTTGGCATGAGTTTCTCGTCAGCCTTCGGCATGACGCTTTGCTCAATATAATATTCATCTTCACTTTCGTCATTTGGAGAATAATACATACCAAATGCTGTTTTTGGTGTTGGAGCTTTGCTCCCGCTTCGCGTTTCATCTTCGATTCCGCTACTATCCTTCGGATATGAGGAACTTCTTTCCGTACGTGTTTGAGCTTTGCTCACACTTCATGTTGCGTCTCTTACTTTAATAATTTCAGAAGTATCTATTTGTTTTAATGGGTCCGTCTTTGTAGTTTGATTTGTTTTGTCTGAAGATAACAAATTTTTGAAAAATGTTTTTAATGATTTTGATTTTGATTGAGAAGTATTATCTGTACTCATTTATATTAAGATAAAAATAAAAATATATTATTTATACATTACTAAATATATTATTAATAAAGTAATATAACAATATTATTATAATAACTATAAAAATAACATACTCAATAGATGTCTTCAGATAAGATGTAAAATATATTAATTTGTTTTTACAGTTTATGAAAACCTTAGAACTACAGTTCGTACGGACCGTAAATATCTATTAAATTATCAACAATGTAATTTCATTAATTAAAAATATTCTATTATCTTTTCCTTTACAATAACCATGATCAAAAAAGTTTTGAAATTTTTGATAATTATCTTTATTATTTAAACACATCGATATTTCATAACCTTTTTCAATAACATTAGGACTAACATAATATTTTACAATTATATCTTTTATATTATTATTTCTAATAAATTGATTAAAGTATTCTTTAAATTTATTAATTCTTGTTTTAAATTTAGAACAATCACAATCTAAGTTAGCTACAACTTTATTATCTTCTTCATTATAATAAACATAATCATTTACATCTTCTTCACTTGATTCATCAGAATAATCATGATTTTCTATAATATCTTCATCAGCCTTTGGCGTGAGTTTCTCGTCACTAGATTCACTTTCAAGTTCGCTTTCAAGTTCACTAATATTTTCAGAATCATCTATAAATTCATCTATATCTTCATCTGTATTTAAATTATATAAGAGTCGTAAAGGACAAAGCTCAATAAACTTTCTAAACGCTTCATTCATATACTGTTCCGTCATTTTAAGGAAGATAAAAAATTACATTAATATAAATTTACTATAAAATTTCATTAATATAAATTTACTAGATATATTGATCTATAATTAAATTCATGCTGGAGCTTTGCTCAGTTTCGCGTTTAGTTAAAATATTATAAAATATTGTTTAAAATTGTGGGGGACCGTAATGTAACATAATTTATATACTACTTATTAAGAATAATAATTTAAAAATAAACTTGGTACTATATTTCCGAATTTTGAAAAAATTCAGATTCGAGTACCTCGCGATTTAATTAAAGTATTATAAAATATAGATAAAATGGGGTGCCCCCTAATGTAACATAATTTATATCTACTATTAGGATAAAAAGAAAAATTGAACCAAAAAATCAAAAAGTATTTTTATAATTAAGAAATCCTTCCCAATTAATTCCGACAAATTATACATTGAATAACATATGGACAATGTATTATTATTTTTTAAAGTTTTTGTAAAAAGCACAGTTACAGAATTATATTATTTTTTTATTGTTTAACGAAATATTAAATTTGAAACATTTTGGTCGACACTACATTAAGATAAATTAAATGTTTTTTTAAATCAAATGTTAATACAATCGGTAAATAAATGGAAAAACTGATCTAAACAAAAATTAATTGTTATTTATCAATATGTCATTAATCGCTCTCATTTTTCTAAAATCGTCTGGTTTATTACAAAGTCTGTCGTCGAATGTTATTAATCCCAACGAAAATTTTGCAGATGAAACAACTTTAATACAAAAAGATTTTTACACTCACAATAATGTTTATTTAAATAAATCTTGTTGCGCTGACAAAACCTACACATATATATCAAAGACATCAACAGCTATATCTACAGACTTTTATTTTGAAGAAGGAATTGTTTTAGAGAAACTGTTTCTACAAACAACAAACTTACAAGAGAGATTTTATATCAATGATACAAACATCCAGATGGACTTTCTGTGATTTTGGGTTGTACATCTGGTTGTAGATCAGATACAGACATGTTATATCTTACGGTTGTAGAACCGATTACCAAAGGAATTGCATTATATTCTTATGGAAATGCAATGTGGTGGGTTTATAAACACAAAAACGAACTCTTCTTATTTGTGAACGGCACAGAAGCGTCTGACATTACATTTGATTTTTCACAAGACTTTAATGATATCGACATATACTATAATACACCAAAATATGCAGCGACTGGTTATTTCAAACAAATATCATTAAACAATAACAGTAATGTAAAATATTATAGTATATGTTCAAAAAACAATGGAAGAATTCAAAGATATGTCTTCACTACACAAACTATTGAATATCAAGATTGTACTTGTTCTTCTGTTGATAATAACATTAACATCAATTTCCAAACGAAATTTAATTATCCG